CATGTGAATTTAGCTGAAAGCCTGAAAAGCTCTAAACGCCTGAAAAGCTTGTTATGGCGTTGTACTCTAATACTTGTACAACAATAACGAAAAGTATCAGTAACCAAAAATACAAGATCACGTAAGTCCCCTTTCAGACACGTCAAGTCTTGCTTTCAAGTCTGCTCGTTCGTTGGTGAAGGAGGTGGGAAGAGAGGGAAAGAGTACAGATACCTCCGTACCGTCAATTCGTTTCAAGTTTTCTTGTTCTCTTTTGATCTTTTCGTTGCTTCCCGTTTAACGTGAGTTATTAGGGACGTTCCGATACCATCAATGTATCGATACTTACTTAAATAAGTTCACGTTCACTCAAATCGCTATTTCGATACTACTTATATGAGTAATGCGAATGTATCGATAACTACTTATATCGATAATTTTTCACCATTTTATATGTACCAAAGTGAAAGTAATTTTCAGACGTCAGGAGCGTTCCTTATCTCCCAGAAATAGTCAGAAAAAGTCCGAAGTAGTCAGATTTAGTCCAAAAAGCGTTCCTTAACTCGGAAATGACAGCAAAAATGAGAGAGCAATACCCACTGAGAGTGACTCTCATCAGTCCGAAGTAGTCAGAGTTAGTCAGAAGAATTTTTTCTGGCAAAATCCTGAAACGTGTCAAACTTAACTAAATTTAAATTAACGGAAATTAAAGAATACGCAAAAAGTGAGAATAATCTAAAAAGTAAAAGAAGTGAATTGAAATTGGAAGGAGGCAAAAAATAATTGATATAGTAAGTGTTTATTGTGCTTGTGCTTGTGTGAATGTGTTTTGTACATACATTTAAATTTTTATTTGACGTTAGCTTTGTTGTTGCCATTCTTTGGACTAAAAATTTGGCTTTTTGCGTTCCTTTACTTTTTCTGTTATTCTCTTTTAGTGAGTGCATTTTGCTTACGCTCCGGCATTTTGACACTTTTCAGATTTTAGTCCAAAAAGATAAGGAATGAACCTGTTATCTGTGACATACCTTTTACGACACTTGAGTGGAAGCCAGTTCTAAAACGCCCTATCTCAGGAAACTTTTCAAAAGCGCCCTATTTCAGAAATTTATTGAAAAACGCCCTATCTCGGAAAACTTTTTAAGAACACCCTATTTTAGAATTCGCTTCAAAAACGCCTTATCTCAAATATTTTCAGTTGAGGTAGGGCGTTTTTAAATTCAGAAATAGAGCGCTCTTGAGGAGTTAATTCAACATGACAACACATTTTAAAGCATTTTAATGCATTATTTTACCTAAATTGTGAGTTTAAAGTGGCTGGAAAAGTAGGCGAAGGAAGTGGCATACGTAACCGGCCGTCTTCACGTGCTGGAAAATCTCGTGAAGACCCATGCGAGATGCCGCGCGTGTAGACCGCATAATATACGAAGCATACTTTTTCTCGCATGCCGAGCGGTTTTCGAGCTCTCGCATGCGTTCAACTATTATTTTTGTTGTTTGGCGGGTATTTTCTCATTTCGCAGAATTCTTCAGAGTAGAAACATTGTTTATTTTGGCGGAAAATACAAATTTAGCCTGAAAAGCGCGCTCGTTCTTTTTTGGCGACATTTTACGGATGAAAAGGTATGCGGTCAAATGCCCAGTCAACAAAGGCACCCTGAAATTGTGCACATACAATTTTTTTCTCAGGTTTCGGACAACATAAATATTAACACGAATCTTCTTCACGCAAACATAAAAATCCACTTAATCCTGAGACACCTTTAAATTAATGAAATTTAAAAAAGCACAACATGAAACTAAAGGGTAGTTTATATTTAAGGACCACCAGTTTATAGCATTGATTATATGTATATGAAAACAAATTCGGCATTATTTTTAAATGTAATTTATGAGTCCAAAATATCAAAAAGTTTTTTTTTTGCGCGGAATCCACCTGTCTAAAAAATGGGAAAATCTAGTTTTCTTCGAGAATGTTTGGCCTTCTTTCGCAATAATTTAAAATAGTTCCTTATACTCTTCATTATCCATGTGTTTTCGTTGGAAAACTATTTGTAACGTAACATTCTTTTTTACTAATTGAATTTTCAAGTAGGTTTTTTTTTTTTAGGGAGAGGGCTCATTTTGCAAGCAACAATGTAAGCTATTCAACTTGTTATTGTCCCATAATTAAAATGTATGTTCTTTCTAACTTATATAGGCTCAGGAAATAAGAATTACGTAGAAAAATAAAAAACAGGATAACTATATTATTTCAAAAAGGAACGAGCCCAAAAAACTAAATAAGAAGCTAAAAGAAGAAGATTTTCCGAGTAAATAATAAAAATATATTGCAATTATTTTGCCTATTTTGCTAGTACTATTTTTATTAATTAAAATGCCCTTTCGAATGGTGATATAAGATGTTTCGTTCAAGAGCAAGAATGATAGAATACAAGATTGCGCCGTCCTGGGTGTTGACATTTGTGTACCACAAGTAAACAAAGCATAGAGCGAAAAGAAGAACGAGTTGAAACAGCCAAAGCAGTTCACTTTACTGCGAAAAACGTGTTTTAATTTCGCTAAATGCGAAAATATTGCATTTTTCACCTAATCTATTAGAGAACAGTGAACATTGTGGTGCACTTCATTGCTTTGCAATTGAGGCTGCTTCAGCAAACGTCGTTCAGCATCTCTGTGGGACTGATTAGTTAACTTGCTAATGGAGGCTGCGTGGAGCAGAAACCAAATCATTGTGAGGAAATGCTGTTAATATAATAATGGAGAAACATTTCGGGAACGGCTTTGACATGTCCTATGTACACAAAATGCAGCGATTCGTCCCAGCGCTACACTTGCATCTACGCTTCTTGCATCTTGACGGTTGTCGCTTTTTAAAACACAGCACTTCATTGTATTCGTTTTTACGCAGTCTTCAACTCAAAAATCACTCACAAATTACAAATTAACACGATTTAAACTGATTTTTCACTTATAATTCCACTTTCTCTTTCGCTGATTTGTAAACAAAGGTTTATTTACAAGTTACCACAACTGTCAAAATCAGCAAAACCAAAGTAGCGGTACCACTCACGGTGCAGCGAACAAAGGTGGCGAGTTGGTGGTGAGTTTTCTACAGTAACCGAATATTATGTGAGTAGATGTGTTCTTGGGATAGGGTATAATGCTGTAGGAGAAGATGGTCTTCCAATAAAGTTTATAAAAGTTGCACTACCCTTTATCCTTGGAACTCTCACTCACATCATAAATCACGGTGTAACAACCTCTCGTTTTCCACATTTGTGGAAAATTGCTTCTGTGTTACCTGTCGCTAAAAAGAGTTCTGCAAATCGTCTAAATGATTTTCGTTCAATCAGTATTTTGTCTGCTTTGCCCAAAGTCTTTGAGACCCTTATGGCTGAACAAATTTTGATATATATTCAAACACACAATCTCCTCTGTCCACTTCAATCAGGTTTTCGAAGAAGCCATAGCTGCAACACTGCCATATTAAAAATTCTAGATGACATTCGGGGGGTTCGATAAAAATCACTTAACCTTGCTCTGTTTACTAGACTTTTCTAAAGCCTTTGACTCGGTTAATCACGGGCTACTATGCACCAAACTTGAAAGATACTTTGGATTTGGGAGAAGTGCTCTGCAACTTATGAGTAGCTATTTGTGTGGCAGGCTCCAGCGTGTCCGAATTGGTTCTGACCTCTCTCAGCTAAAGGGGGTGCCTGCTGGGGTGCCTCAGGGATCTATACTTGGCCCACTTCTTTTTAGCCTAAAAGCTAATCTCCATACCTATGCTGACGATATTCAACTATACTTATCGGCTCCTCTGGTGCAAGCAGATCGATTGTGCGGCGATATTAATGCTGAGCTATCCGTTATTTCCAATTGGGCGATTGCCAATGGTTTGCATCTCAATTGTGATAAATCACTTGTTTCTTGCCAGCTGTTAATAAAAAGTTTGTAACCGGTAAATAAAGTTCCTGTCAATTTTTAAACCCTTTTCCCATTCTCTCTACTCTCGTAACCGGTAAATTTTGTTACCATCTCATAAGTTGGTAACAAAGTATTGCCCCGTGAAATATGCAATGCCAGAATCTGCATAATTCTTCATAGCTGAATTGCTGAATATTTTAACTGCATTACCAACGAACCTAGAATCGCGGTGACAAGAACTGGAAACTTTTTTTGGTAATACAATTTTCCGGTTACAAAATCTTCGGTAACGTGCAGAATAGGGGTACGGTTAAAGTACGTTGCCGATCTATTTCGAGGTATTGCGTCCAAAGGGGTGACCCGATCCAAAAAAAATTTGCACACACTTGTAGCCAAGGGTGTAAACATTATTTTTGTAATTTTTGGTCACTAATTTATTTACAAATTGGGTTAGAAATATGCCCTTTCTTTGTAAAATTCGGAAATTATCGTAAATTTATCACTCCTATTCTCCTTAAAGCAGCTACTTCAGCAATATATTTTTATATTCTCCTTCACTTTACACTTTACTCGATGAGTTATAACTTTCTTTATAACTTTAATATTAACCAATTAATCACAATTTATTAAATAAAAACACTTTCTAAATCATGCGTCTGACTTTGGTTGCATATGCAAATTAAATGGCGTAGTTCACCTGTCAAACTCCAAAATATGCAAAAGAATGAGAGACAACAGAAAATAGGATATAACCCTGTAAGCATTAAAAATATACAAAGCTGTTCTCTGCAAAAGGTGTTCAGCTCCTTTTCTTCGCAAAACAGAGAGGAGAATTCTACTGCCTGAGGGTTATAATCCTTAAGTGCGGTCGAAGGCCGCCTACGCAGAAAGTTGTTCTCTGCAAAA